CCCTCTAGCACCCGCCTGCGGGCACTGGGGCTGGTGGCAGCAGAGCAGCCCCCGGGGACAGCGCGGGGACAGGGGACAGCTCAGGGAGGCAGCGAGAGCCAGAGCCCGTGCACAGAGCAAGGGCTACAGCCGCCGGCCCTGGACACCGTCACGCAGCTCCTGCACGGAGCTGCCACTGAAGCAGCTCTCTGAGCGCGCGGGCCCGGCCCGGCGCCTCCCAGGAACGCGGATTCCTTCTCCGTGGTGTAAAGTTTTCCAGCACAGGGGTGAAACGGGGCCTGATCCACGTGCCCACAGCCATGGTCACACTGGTGCACAGAGCAGCCAGCCAGGAGCGGGATGAGGCACCTCCTGGAGGTGCCACTCCGGATTCCCTGCAGGCAGGGCCATTCCCGACCCCCAAGCCATTTCCGAGCAGAGCTATTCCAGCTGTGGGAAGCACTTCCCCATGGCCGATGTTCAGAAAGGGCTTTGCAGGATGGTCGCTCGTCACCGTGTAGCAGGGAACGTCCCCTCAACATCAAAGCCACCCGCCTGAAACCCTGCTCGTGCAGGGGCTCCGAGGAGATGCCCGGCTCCCCAGCTTGTCCCCGAGCTGGGGGGACATCGTAAACACCCACAGCGGCTGCCGCTTCGTTTGGCACCGCTTCATTCTTACCTCCCACTGTGGAAGCTGGGAATTGGGCTGCAGTGGGGGGTGGCAGTGCTGGGACGGGAGCGCGGCCGGGACGGGGCTCAGAGCTGCGGCCGGCACGGGGCTCGGAGCTGCGGCCTCAGCTCTCCCGCGCAGCCCGGCGAGGCCGCAGAGCAGCCAGGGGCAGCCCACGCAGGGAGCAGCGCGGAGGGGACGGGTACGGGGGCGATGCAGGCCCTGCGGTACCTTGCGGCGGGGGGGCAATGCGGGTGACGCGCAGGTTGGCGCTGGGCAGCGGCGCGGCGCACACGTCCCGGCCCAGCCGCGGCAGCGCGGGCAGCACGAAGGCGATCTCGTAGCGGTGCGCGACCTTCAGGAAGCCGACCTGCGGGGACACGCGCGCCCTGAGCGGGCCGGGAAAACCCCCGCGCGCGCCGCAAGGACACGCGGGAGGAACGGCGCTTCCCGGGCAGGGTGCTGCTAACGGCCCTCCAAGGAGGCGGGGAGCAGAAGGGCAATTTTCCCAGTTTAATTTCAGAAACGTTCAGGAAAACGTGACGTTGGCACCCGCGGTGACAGCGGAGCCCCGCGTGCTCCGGTCTCCCTCCCGCTGGCCCCAGGACCAGGGCCCGTCGCGGCCCCCTTTCCACCGC